CTGGAGTCTTCTCTCTTCCAGACTGAACATTCCCAGCTCCCTCAGCTTATCCTCATAGCAGATCTGCTCCAGCCCCTGGGTCAGCTTTGTGGCCTCCTCTGAACTCGTTCCAACAGATCCACGTCCCTCTTAGGGTGCGAACACCAGAACTGGACGCGGTATTCAATAATAAATCAATAAATCACACTGGAGTGGGTTGCCCGTCAGCAGGCAGCTCCGGGGCGATCGTATCCCTTCCAGCCTCCTCCGTGTGCTCCCCAGCCACGGCGCAGCAGGGCTGGGCCATCCCGACACACCTTTGCCGGATCCCGTGGACCTGTAAAGAGTTTATCTGAGGGTTAACGAGGAGAATGAAATCCGGAGCTGAACTGGGCGAACCAAGAGAGCAGCAACCCTTTCCTTTCCCCTCTAAATGTCAGGGGTGAACTACAGCGATCCCTCATCGTCCGGCATCTCAGATCCTCTGTTAAAATCTTGTTCTTCCTTGCAATAACGGGCATTTCTTCCACACGTCCTGCTTGGTAACTTGATTTTGGGGAGGGGGGCTGAGCGCAGCAGCGTAGGAGCAAGTGTGCAGGCTGGAACGATGTCTCTGAGCGCTTTTAAAACAAGATTATTACCTAAATATTACTACCTAAAGGCTTTCCCCCCCTTCTCTTGCTCAAAGAAGCAAGGAACCATTTGGAATCCTCCTGGGAGCAGGAGGCTTCCAGAAGAGGAAGAACGACTTGATAAAAATCAAGTATTTGATGTTGAAGTAAACAAACCTGTATTGTTCGTTCTGAGCTGGAGTTTTGACTTCAAACTTGAGAAATCCTGGCAATGCCCTGCGGCGGGCGCTGAGCACTTGGGAGTAAGTGCCTGTTTCCTAGACCGCTTTTGATGTCTGTGTAGGTAATTTGCCGTCCGTTTGGGCCACTTTGAGGCAAGAGAATCGCTAATTTTGCTGATCCGTAGGTCCTGCATCCTGCGACTCGCCACGGCAGCAGGGGCTGAGAAGAAAATGTTCGTCCCTCTCCGTTTGGGCTGCAGGAAAGGACACGTTTGGGTGGATTTAATACGGCCCCGACTATCTTTCAACTTGGGCAATTGAGCGGTGAGGTTTAGGGAGCAGGGGTCTTCTCTTAGACCAGGAAGGAAGCCGCTAAGCTCTGCACACCAAGAGCCCGAAGCAGCCCTGCCTTTGCAGCTCGTCAGACATCTCACCTCTCCACTCGTTTTCGAGCGGGCGTCAGAGACGCTTTGACAAACAGGTTCGCAAACTCTGCCGTAGCTTCTGCAGGTGTCTTCATCCTCCCCTTCACAAAGAACCCACTGCACCCCCCATCCTGAGCTCCTCCAGCTTTTCACCAGGACCTTTGAGAGGTCTGGCTGCCCGGAGCAGAGTGCCTTCGTTCCCTGTTTACTTGCATTTTGCCGCGTGTGAAACCGAAGCCTTGGCTCGAAACGGAGTCGAGAGACGGTTCTGCCGCTTGCTTTTTCCAGCGAGCGTCGGAGTTGGAGCCGTGTGGCGTGATTTCAGGAGCTGTGTAGCTTCTGTTGGGTGCGCAGTATCCTGAGATGCACTTTGGGAGGGTAGGAGATGCTTGGGGTTTATCGTGGGGCAGTGTTAGCGATGAGCCACATCTTTTTTTATGTTCTTTGGGCTGTTTCTGCCACCTCCTTTCTCTTACAGACCCTCTCTGGAGCACCCACCTTCCCTTTCTGTCCCTGGGTGAGGCGTAAGGAGCTTTAAGCTGTTGGTACCGTGCCTGATTCCTCCTCCCTTCTTCTTTTTCTGCAGCTGGTCAGTGAGAAGGTCGGGGGAGCTGAAGGGACCAAGCTAGACGATGACTTCAAGGAAATGGAAAAGGTGAGTAGGGAGCAGGAGAAGTCTCTAAAATTGCCCGTCTAGCTCCTCGGTGACCTTGCTGAAGCCCTGAGCTCGTCGTCACTGCTGCTGCCTCATCTTGTCTTTCCTACAGAAAGTGGACCTGACCAGCAAGGCGGTTACGGAAGTATTGACCAGAACAATAGAGTACCTCCAGCCCAACCCAGGTGAGACCCGGGACCTCTCCTGTCGCATTCCTTCTGCCCCCACTTTTTCAGGAAAAGAGGCAGAGGTGATCAGAGAGAACCTTTTTGGCCCTGTTGGAGATCAGGCGAAGGTCCACACACCCCTCTCTTGCCCTGGGCTGTGTTCCCGGGCTGTAAGACAGTGCTCTGGCTGTTGAACAGTGAAAGAACAGACACATCTTCTCCCTTGGACCTAGAGAGGCCCTGAAGGGGACCCATTTTTCTTGGGATGTCCAGAAATAGCAGCGTCTCCGCGCTGGGAAGGGGTGGCTGGCTTTGTGGGCATCGCTTCTGGAGCCTGCTGTCCTGCGTGCTTCCAGCCAGCTCGCCCAGAGAGCGCTCCAGGGACGCTGGGAGGGCTGGGGAAACTCCTTTGGCCTTCACCAGCGAGCTGTGGGGAACTATTTTTTGCTCGCTGTCTTGGAAAAGAAACTTCTCTTTTCGTAGCGAATATTTCTGGTCGATGAAGACAATAGGGCTCCTTGGCTTTGGGTGTAGCTTGAGAAGAAAAAGATAAAAAAAAAAGTTGGCGGTGGCCGGCGGCTTCTGGCAAGTCCAAG